CTGCCCCCCTTTCCTGTCTATCCTCAGCTGTCACTATCAATTAAAGGCAATAAAAGCCCAAAAAAATACTGTAGATAAAAAAAGGTAACAAGGTAACAATTCGTATTTTCAGGTGAGTATACACATAAAACATGCCTATGAATATTACATTCCATTTCTGACAATAGATCCTCCTAAATGTTACATACTGGACCTACATACTGGACCTTTAAAGTAGACTGTAAATTGTTTTTCTGTTGGCTTCAAATTAGTTTTTTGAATTTTAAAATGTTTCAGCTTGTCTTTTGAGTGTGTGAAGGGCTGTGTGACAGACATACAGACATAGCAGTAACCTGACATCGTCATCGTCATCAATAATGAACATGAAGGCATCAGGGGCAACCTGAGCTTAGGCTGGAAAAGCAGGTTTACAGACTCCCAATGGATCTGTTTTACTGCCTCATTCAGCTTCAAGCTAAACAATCTGTGGTCACATACTGAATGCTTAATCAATTGTTAATATCATTTTCATGTGATAGGCAAACAGTGATTCATAGCTTAATAATCTGTGGCAGCCTGCTGACTCCTAGGAGATGTGTGTGAAAACCTCCTGTCGTTCACAGTTTATAAATAAACAAGGTCCACTCTGTCCTGCGCTTAAATCTGACAACTTCACTTCCTACATGTTGAAAATGTAATGTAGAAATGTAATTAAATCACAAAACAACATCCAGACTGGTGCACTTCCTGTGTGTGGCTTTATTACATGACTATTAAGCATCCTTTCAAACCTCCCAGGAAGAAAAGCTTACAGTATTTCAGCTGGAACCCACACTGTAGTGACATAAGGGCCGGATGATTAACTGATCATGAGGGAGCTAAATTTCAGGCTTTAAATGTTCAAACTCCCCCAATAAACCTGCAGGCCTCAGCTCTGCGTCCTCACTCTAATACACCTTTTCCACCAATGGGGAACTGGCTCCGTTCCAGTACCTTGTTTTGAACCGTTTGAAGCATTTGGACCAAAAATAAATTGGTACAGGATTTCCTTGGGAACCAAAGTAAGCATGTACTATTCTACAGGTTGTTCTATAGAGCACTCTCAGTCGATGATGCATCATGGAATATAATGGTTCTGCTCAAACACTGGCGGCGGGCTGGTTCACTAGATAGCACCAAGGGTTAGGGTTGGGGTTAGTGTTAGGGGGACTGTGTGACGATAATGATGAAGTTGCAGTTATTTAGCAGTAAGCCTCACTGAAGAAACTAACTTTGAGCCCAGTACAGAGCACACAGATGAGGACAGGATGAACGCAGCACTGATTACCCCAGAGAGAGAGACAGCTTGAAATCATTGCCTCGTCCCACCGACAACGCAAACGTATTGATTTCAAATTGTAATATTCCCACAACTCCCAGCACACGGACAGACACAGAGAGGCAGCAAGGTCAGACTTTCCAATAAAGGCGGTTTGCTTGTTTGTCTTTGTTCACAAAACAGTCCCACAAAATGTCTTTTTTATTAAGTTGCTCAGCGAGGAAGCTGGACGGCTTAGAGAAAGCAGGTCAGCGGGTATTTAGGTGGACAGAGCAGAGCGGGGGCGGCCGTGGACGTTAGTGATGCTTTAGGGCAGCATGAACATTTGGGAACATTGACGTTGTCATGGCTGTCATTACTAATCCAGTGTTTGCATGCGTGCGCATCACATATGTGCATGTTTCCACTGTCACTTTGACACACCGTACCATCCAGGAAACTATGGCCACGGCCTCGTAAAGCCTTTAATGCAGCGCTCTGTTGGGCCTAAAAGGGCATCTATCAGTTATAATCCACAGCCTGCTTTAAGCTCCATCTCCCTCTCCTCCCTCTCTCCGGTTTGTTTTACTCCTGCGCTCTCTTTAGCTACGATGTGATCATTCTCTCCATCA